GAGGTAGCTGTAGGTGTTGTCGAAGCGCAGTACGTCTGCGGGAGGGAGGGGTCAGGGGGTGCTGGGGGCACCGCGGGGACCCCCAGCACCCTGGGGATGGGGAGGCACTCACAGATGCCAGGCGTGGAGCAGGTGAGGGAGCCGTCCTCGGGCACCATGTGTGCGTTGTAACGCTGGTTGGGGTACACCTCGGTCATGTCTCCTGCGCGCTGGCGCTCCCCCACCTTCGTCTTCAGGTACACCCCGAAACCCACGTCAGCTCCCTCCGAGCGGAACTGCCACCTGCACCGGGCACACGGCGGGTCCTGCGGTGGGGCTGGGAGCACGCCCGGGGTGCCACCCCTCCCCGTGGCACGCAGCACCCCACTCACCTGAGGACACAGCCGGGGAAGAGGATCTCATACTCAACCTGGTGGGACGAGCCTCGGTTGACCACCACCGTGTGCTCATACTGCTGCGCCAGCTGGTCCCGCACATAGTACCGCTGTGGCACATCCCCCCCGTAGTTGATCTGGAAGGGATGGAGGTGTGGGGATAGGGGAACCATCCAGCATCCCCAAAGAACCCAAAAGGGACTTCTCCTACCTTGCTGAGGCACTTGGGGTTCCCATCGGGGTCAGTCAGTGTGCCCCCATACTCCACTGGGATCTGCCCAGGGTCGATGTACTGCTGCAGGACCTCCTTCCAGTTGGCTGCAGGGGGAGGACAGTGAATTTGGGGGGGACTGTGAGCCCCAGCCCAGCTGGGGAAGCCCCCAGGGTTGAGGTTTCCTCCCTGGGTGGGATGACAGCAGAGGAGGGATGTGACATCCCTGTTTTGGACACCCTGGGGAGGGTAAGGACTCACATCCCAGCACCACCACCTTCTTGCGTGTGTCCTCACTCAGGAAGTGCTTGACCAGGTTGTAGGCTACAGGGAAGATCTTGGGGGCTGGGGGACAATGGAGGGTGTTAGGGGGTTGTCAGCACCCAAATGTGGAGAGCAGGACCCCAGGACCAAACTTACCTTTCACAATAAAGAGGCGCTTGAGGGACTCAGGGTAGTTCTCCTCGAACATGGACAGGAGCTGCAGGATGGGGGAGTTCCGGTCACCCATCCCACATACCCACCAGGACCCACACCCCAAAACACCTGAGGGTGTGGGGCACCACAGGGACCTGCTGTTGCACATCCCCAGGGCCAGGGGTCAGCCCAGATCCCTTCGGTCCCCCAGGGAAGGAGGATGGGCAGGAGCCCCTCACCTCCCCATACGTGTCCACCGCTGGTTTCCAGAGGTGCTTCAGGCCCAGGCCCTCACAGTCATAGACCATCATCACCATCTCAATCTTCTTGCCCAGCTGGGACAGAAGGATGGGGCAGTCAGGCAGGACCCATGGAAGGGTTTAGGGATGGGGTCCACCCCCAGCCAGAGCCTCCTCCTAAGTGCTGGTGTGTGGAGAAGGGGCATCATGGGAGCTGGAACAGGGACACAGGCTGGGTGGGAATGGACAGGATGAGGACTTAGGAAGCTGTCAGGGACATGGTCCATGGTGGGATGGACAGGACATGGACCTATATAGGCTAGTGAGGACATTGGCTGGTAGGGATGGACCAGAGATGGATGGATAGGGCTGGGGAGGACATTGGCTGAGGAGATAGACAGAACATGTACTTGTGAGTCTGGCAGGGCTATGGACTGAGAGGGACGGACAGGACATGGACCTATAGAACCTATAGGGCTGAGGAGGACAATGGCTGGTAGGGATGGACAGGATGTGGACTTGTGGGGCTGGGGAGGACATTGGGTGGTGGAGATGGACAAGACATGGGCTGGCAGTGACACAGGCTGCAGGGGATGGACAGGACATGGACCTATAGAATATATTTGACTGATGAGGACATTGGCTGGTAGGGATGGCACAGAGATGGATGTATGGGGCGGTGGAGGTCATTGGGTGGTTGAGATGGACCAGACATGGACTTGTGGGGCTGGCAGGGACAGGCTGAGGGGCATGGACAGGGGATCCATGGATCTATAGCACATATAGGGCTGGGGAGGTGGAGGTGGCCCAGAGATGGACATACGGGGCTGGGAAGGACATCAGGTGGTAGAGATGGACAGGATGTAAACATATGGGGCTGGCAGGGACATGGACTGAGGAAAATGGACAGGATATGGACTGTGGGTCTGGGGGAGACTATGGCTGGTGGTGATGGACTGGACATACAGGGCTGGAGAATATGATGGCTGGTGGGGATGGACCAGAGATGGACATATGGGGCTAGGAAGCATATTGGGTGGTAGAGGTGAACCAGACATGGACTTGTGAGGCTGGCAAAGACCTATAGGACTGGAGGGGCTGCTGGCTGGTAGGGATGGACCAGATGGAGACGTAGAGGGCTGGAAGGGCCTGCTGGGGCCAGCAGGGTGTGGGCAGGCAGGTGCCCACCTTCTGGCTCTGCTGCTCGCACTCGCGCCGCAGCACCTCACAGTCACGGAACTTGTTCTTGAGCAGGTCTTGCTTGGAGGCTGAGAAGAGCAGCCCCTTGGCATCCAGTGGCCCAATGATGTCGTACCACACCGGGCTGCCCTCCCGGTCATAGCCACACATCCCCCCAGCCATGTACTTCCGGATCACCTGCAGGAACACAGGGGGATCAGGGCACTGTGCACCCTCGGGGGGCTTGGGGGGATGGGACAGTCCCCTCCAGGACCATCCCTGGGAGGCTCAAGGGGACGGTCCCCTCCAGGACAGCACCCCTGGGGAGCTTGGGGGAAAGGTCCCCTGCAGGACCAGCCCCAGGGCACTCAGGAGGACAGTCCTCTTCAGGACCACCCCTCAGGGCCCCAGACACTCACCTCAGGTGGTTCCCAGTCAATGATGTTGTCAGCATCCATGTACTTGCGGACCTCGAGGTGCTGTGAGGGGGACCAGAGCACGCCAGGGTGAGATATGGGGACCATCCCCATGGGACAAGGTGCACCCCATGGACAGGTCACCCTGGTTGGGAGAGAGGGCTGGGCTGGTGGCCCAGGGTTCACTGTCGCATGCCAGGGGACACAGTATGGCAGGGTCCCCCAAGAGCAGGTGTCCTCACCTTGCGGAGCATTGCCTCTGCCTTGGGCAGGTCGAAGGCGCGTGCTGCAAGAGAGCAGAGAGCTCAGCCCCATGCCAGGCCTCGGGGGTCTCCCACCCTCCCAGGGGTGTCCCCCACTTTGGGGTTACCTCGGAGCCATTTCAGGAGGAAGGAGTCGTCCTGGGAGGGCAGGGAGGGCAGCACGTCCTGCAGCTTCTCCCGGAACTGCGGGGACAAGAGGGATAGTTAGCAAAGGGGTCCCTGATCCCACCCAAAAAAACCCAAGCCCAGAGGTTTGTCCTGTCCTTGTCCCCCCAAAAACACCCCAGCCAGGACTGGGACATACCCAGGGGGAAGGGTCACCCCCTGCCCTGTCCCTGCTGCCACGTGCAGCCAGGATCAGCAGTTACTATGCTCCTCCTGGCAGGGGACTGTCCCCAGCCCAGCCACCATGCACTGGGTGTCCCCAAGCACTGGGTGTCCCCAAGCCCTTGCGCAAGGGTGTGAGCGTGGGCTGTCACCTGCCCTGCTCCCCCTGGGGGGTCCTGCAGGGACCAGACGGAGCAGTCCCATCCAGTGGCATCCTTTGGGATAGATGGAGCTGATTACCAGGTGTCCCGCTGCTCCAGTGACCCCCAGTG